TTCATTCCTGCCCATTTCGTTCCTAACCTCCTTCTGCAGGTTAACAAATTTTGTTTGTTTCCTGTATTCCCTTACTGAAAAGAGACAGATCCCATCTTGGAAGTAGCTCCATATCAGTTCACAGAGATCAGTTTCTTTTTTCTGTTTTATTTTATTTGATTTGTTTTTTTAAATTATTTTTGTTACAGATGTTTCTCCTTTTTCTCCCATTGACACCCTTCTCCCGGTCCCGCCCCACCACCAACAGCGTTGTTGTCTATGTCTACTGGTTATGCATACATGCATATAATTTCCTTGGTTTATCTCTTCCCTCCCCCCTACCCCCTGTCTTTTTTCAATTTTAAAAATAACTGTATAGTACCCCATTGGGTTTATTCACCAATTGCCTATGTACAAGCATTTAGGTTTTCCAACATTTCGAATTTGTGTGATATAATTTTTGTATTGTCAGCTATGTGTCTTTAGGTTAACTTCTTAGGCATGGGATTACTTTTGCATGTGTAGTTTTGTTAAATACTACAAATTTCTCTTGATACAGATTGCAGTATTTTGCACTCCCAGGAGCAGTGAATGAATACACCTATTTCTCCATCACTTCGCCAACAGAGTGTGTTGTTAAGCTTTGGAATTTTTTTTATTTGGATAGGGAGAAATAATATTTCAGGATAGTTTTTTTTTTTTTTTTAATCCTCACCCGAGGACATTTTTCGATATTTTGTTCAGATAGGTGGGAGGGAGAGAGAAGAAGAGAAACATCGACGTGAAAGGGACACATCGAATGGCTGCCACCCGCACAACCCAACCAGGGCCGGGGACAAACTGCAACCAAGGTACATGCCCTTAGCGGGAACCGAACCTGGGTCTCTCCAGACCACAAGCCAACACTCTAACCACTGAGCCAAACCGGCCAGGGCTATTTCAGGATAGTTTTAATTTGCATTTCCTCTATGAGGAAAGGTGAACATGTTTTTATATGTTCAAGGGCATTTTTATATTATTTTTGACTTGTCTTTTTGTGTCTGCTGCCTAGTTATTTATACTCTCTAGGGATTTTGGTTCCCCCACCTCTATGTAAGAGTTCTTCATATATTAAGACTATCAACCCTTTATCTGGAATATCTTATAAATATTTTCTCTCAACTTTTTTTTTTTTTAACTTTGCTTTTGGTGCAATTTGGCATTCTGTGCGTTGTTTTTTTTTATTTAGTTAAATTTAATTTTTTTTTATTACATGTGGATTAAATTAAAATTAAAAAACCTTTCCCCACTCAGATCAGAAAGAACTTACCCACATCTTCTTTTAGAACTTTTAGGGTTTCATATTTTACATTTAGGTCTGGTACATTTGGAGTTTATTCTTGTGACTAATGTTGGGTATGGATCCAATTTTATCTTTCAAATAGCTAGCTGTTGATCTAACACTACAATATATTATATACTTTTTTTTTCTTTATTGATTTTAGACAAACAGGAAGGGAGAGGGAGAGAGAGAGAAACATTAATGAGAGAGAACATTGACTGGCCACCTCCAGCATGCCCTCCACTAAGGATTTGGCCCACAACCTGGGCATATGCCCTGACTGGGAATTGAACCGGCGACCTCTTGGTGCATTGGTTGATGTTTGATCACTGAGCCACACCGGCGCCGAGCTTATATACCATTTATAGATATAGGTATAGATATAGATATAGATATAGATATAGATATAGATATAAACTTTTTTGGGTAGAAATAGCACACAAGAAGGCAGTAGAGTTTTCAGAAGTAGTCCAATTACACTAGTGCAGTGGTTCTCTACCTTCCTAATGCTGACCCTTTAACACAGTTCCTCAAGTTGTATGTGGGCGTATTTGCATGTGGGTGGGCCCGCCTGGGGACGGATAGAGGAGCGGTGTCTCAGTTCCTCAGACCATCGGAAATAGGTGTTTTCCGATGGTCTTAGGTGACCCCATGAAAGGGTCGTTCGACCCCCAAAGGGGTCGCGACCCACAGGTTGAGAACCGCTGCTGACTAATGAGAGTAAATAGCTGAATATCTTGCTTGAATATTTGCTCATGGGACTAGTATTTAAGACAATTATGTAACTTAAAATTCCTTCCCTGGTGATTATAAAAACTTACATTTCTGTAACACTTTACAGGTTAGACCACATCCTTGATCTCATTTATCCTCATTTATAACTGCCCCTGACCAGGTTGTCCACCCACTTATACAAATGATGAAATTAAGGTTACAGAACAATAATGATTTTTCTACAGTCAGGCTCTTAGTAGATGGAGTAGCCCAGCTCTCTTGGCCCTTCCACTGTCTTCCACAGCATGATGGCAAATCTTGCACATCAAGAGTCTCATGGCTTTATTGAGGGGAAGAGCTCATTTAAGGGAGGAGAATGTCACTAACACGCTCAGACATTTATCATACGAGGCAGGGTTGGATTGCGATTCTATTTTACTTGAAAGTTAACACGGTGTTCCAAATACTACTGAGCATCTACTGCCATTTATACTAGGCTTTGGGAGAGCAGCCAAAGATGTAGTCATCATCTGCCACTTAAATAGTATTTCCCGCCCAGGCTGGTTTGGCTCGGAGATTAGAGCGTTAGCCCGTGGACCAAATAGTCACAGGTTTGATTCCGTTCAAGGGCACATACCTCGGTTGTGGTTCAGTCCCCGGCCTTGGTAGGGGTCGTGCAGGAGGCAACCACTCAATGTGTCTCTCTCACATCAATGTTTCTCTCACTCTCCCCCTCCCACTCTATCTGAAGATAAATGGAAAAATATCCTCAAGTGAGGATTTTAAAAAGATAAATAGTATTTCCCCTCTGAGCAGAACTTGGGGAGACCAGATTTGACACAAACAAAACACAGAATAACATGAGACTACTCAGTTAACTATGGTAAAGTTATAGCTTGTTATAGTCAGACAGAAACCAAATAGAAAAGACTTAAAGGGGGCACATTCTACAGTATGTATATCAATCAAAATTTCTGAATCAAAGCCTTGTCTTGAATTCTAAGCCAACATGGGGCAAAACCAAATGACTAATTTGGCTATCGGATCAGAAAGGGAGTTCTCCAAGTGCCATCAGAGGTCCCCTGGGGGTTCTTGAGCCCTTTGCAGGGGTCCTGCGAGGTGAACACTGTTCTCAGACTTCCACGAGGCTGGTTGGCTTTTTCCTGGGTGGACGTCTGCTTGCCTGGGGGTGGAGTGGAACTCGGGCACTCCAGCACGAAGCAAGGCGGTGGCACCCAGCGGGATTTGCAGGCATCGTATTCTTCATCACTATGTGGGAGGAAAAACGCCATTTCACGAGGATTCCCTTAATGAAGAAGGCAAAATTATTAATTTTATTAAGTTGCAACCATTTGGCCCTGGCCGGTTTGGCTCAGCAGTTGGAGCATTGGCCTGCAGTCCAGAGTGACCCGGGTTCGGTTCCCGCTAAGGGCACGTACCTCAGTTGCAGTTTGTCCCCGGCCCTGGTTGGTCGTGTGGATGGCAGCCACTCGATGTGTCCCTTTCACGTCGATGTTTCTCTCTCTCTCTCTCCCTCCCACTCTATCTAAATAAAAAATGGAAAAATGTCCTCATGTGAGGATTAAAAAAAAAAAAAAAGTTGCAACCATTTGGTACCAGTCCTCTTATTTCTTTTTTTCTTTATTGATTTTAGAGAGAGAGGAAGGGAGAGGGAGAGATAGAAACATCGATGAGAGAGAACATCGATTGGCTGCCTCCTGCATGCCCCCCACTGGGGATCAGGCCCACAACCTGGGCATGTGTCCTGACTGGGAATCGAACCAGCAACCTCTTGGTACATGGGTCAATGCTCAACCACCGAGCCACACCAGGGGGACGGTAGCAGTCCTCTTAACCTGCTGTCTGTGAAGTACAATGTATCTTGAAGAAAAGCCGTTGTGCTGTCGAGGGATGGCTGAACGAGCCACTTTTTCTCCATGTGTACTTGAAGGAACTACTTATCGACCAACTGGTTTTCAGACCTCAGTGTTTAGTAGATATTTTCTCAAAAAATGGATGGAGTGAGCCTGTCAGTACAAAGTACAAGGAATACAATTAATATTAGTGGCTGCATTGATAACATTTGAAGTTTCCAGAGGGGGAAAAAAATAGAACTTTGGAAAACTTGCATCAGCCAGAATTCCCTGACATCATTGTCTGCAACCCTATTTCAGCGAGGGAACAGCTACTTGCTAAGGACATTAATGAGGAGTTGAATGAGGAGAAACTCCCCATATTCTGGCATTTTACCAATTTAGAAGACAAACAATTTCTCTAAAAATGAAAACCGCCCGGCCGGTGTGGTTCAGTGGATTGAGCATTGCCCCAGTTCGACTCTTGGTCAGGGCACACGCCCAGGTTGCAGGCTCAATCCCCAGTAGGGGGCGTGCAGGAGGCAGCCGATTGGTGTTTCTCTCTGACATCGATGCTTCTATCTCTCTCTAAAAAAATCAATAAAAACATATTTTAAAATAAATAAATAAATAAAAATGAAAACCTCTGAATAAGAAAACGGTAGTGAATATTACCACTAAGGCTATTGTTAAGAACCACAAAGGGGATTATAAACTGATATATGATAGCTTCAAAGAAACAGAATTGACAAGTACTATACCAATCTTATGCAAACTCTTTACAAAGACTACAAAGAGGGAATACTTCCCAACTTGCTTTATGAGGCCAACATAATTTTGATAATACATACTGATAAAACATTATGAGAAATGAACATTCCAGGCCATTACATTCTCAGGAGCATAATGCAAAGCCCTAATAAAATGTTAGCAAACCAAATCCAGCAACAAAATAAAACTAATACATCAATATCAAGTTAGATGTATTTCAGGAATACAAAGTTGGCTTAATATTTTTAAAAGGCAATTGACAGAACATAAAAGAGAAAGAATACAATTATCTCAGTAGATGAAAAAACAGCATTTTAAAAAATTCAACAACCATCCTGTCCTGTCTCAGAGGCTGTCAGCAGGCGGATCATGAGCCATTGGCTCCTCCGGGGCAGGCTGTAGAACAACTCTCACCAAAGGACAAGCACACCGGGCACTATGGGACAGTGTCGGTCAGCCAATGCCGAGGATGCCCAGGAGTTCAGAGACGTGGAGAGGGCCATTGAGACCCTCATCAAGAACTTCCACCAGTACTCAGTGGAAGGTGGGAAGGAGACGCTGACCCCCTCTGAACGACAGGACCTGGTGACCCAGCAGCTGCCTCACCTTATGCCCAGCAACTGTGGGCTGGAAGAGAGAATCGCCAACCTGGGCAGCTGTAACAACTCTAAACTGGAGTTTGGGAGTTTCTGGGAACTGATTGGAGAAGTAGCCAATAGTGTGAAGCTGGAGAGCCCTGTCCTGGGGAGCTGAGAACTTTCCCCTGGGATTCTTGGGGGGATATTGGGCAAAGGGGGCCTTAGAGACTGTTGGCCTGGAAATAAAACTGCTCTCTTTACCATCACCTTACTGTCCCCCAGCCCACACCTGTCTCACCTCTGCAGGGTTCCGGTGGTTCATAATGGCACTTAGCTTGCGAGGGTGAGGGGTGGGTGTCCCCGCACTTCATCCTCGGGAGGGAGCTCTGAGGAGCTAATGGGTCCAGGAATCCCCATCAGAGGGAGGTTCAGGGGGCGGGTTGGGGCCAGGGATGTATGTGGAGGAGTAGTGGCGGTGTAAGGGCCACACCATTTGGTAGTGGGTGCAGGGCAGAGAGGAGCTGGACTACGGGAATGATTTGAAAGGGGCTGGGAATAGGGCTGGATATTTGGTATTGAAAATGGTCTCTAAGAACCTACCCTTCCTAATCTCTTCCCCAACCAAACTAGCTGTCTGTCCAGTGTTATACCTTCCTGCCTCCAGCTCCTCCCCAGCCTCCTCCCAGACTGCCTTTGGGCTAGGGCAAGGGACGTGAGAGAGCAGGTGGGGGACAGGGTAAGGAGGGTGTGACCTTGGGATGAGAGAACCAGCTGGGTGCGTGGGCATTTAAAGAATGATGATTGTTTTGTATCATTTGAAAATAAAAAAGTGAAAAAAAAAATTCAACAACCATTCATGATGAAACTCATGATACAAAGTAACTTGGAAAGAAAAGAGTATCAACAAAAAGCATGCAGTAAATATCCTTAACAGTGAAATACGGAAACCTTTCACTCTGGGATGGGGAACAAGATAAAGATGATTTCTCTCATCTGCTCTGAAGTCTTCTATACTAGTGAACGGTTGTCATGTAGCACATTAAAAAAAAAATAAGACTCATTATTTGCAGATGACATAGTTATATGGAGAAAAATCCAAAGGAAACTACAGATGAACTATTACATTGATAAATTGATTTGAATAAGATTGCTGGATAAAAGATATATGAAAAATGCATTGCTATACACCACCAACAAATAAAATGAAAATTTAAAAGGATACCATTTCCAATAGCATCCCAAAAAAATTCACTAGAAAAAAAATCTACCAAAAGGAGATGCAAGACAGTACATTGAAGACTACAAATATTGCTAGGGGAAATTGAAGACCTATGTAAATGGAAGGACATTCCTGTGCATAGTCTGGAAGATGTAAAGATGACAATTACCCCCATATTGATCTATAAATTCAATGCAGTGGCAATCAAAATTGTTTTTGTGGCAATTGGCCAATTGATTCAAAAGTTTATATGAAAATGCAAAGGACCAAGAAGAGTAACAAAATAATCTTAAAGATAAACAATAGTGGAGGGCTTAGGCTACCAAATAAAGGCTTTTTTTTTTTTTTTTTTACTACAGAAATTGAGATTGTAGTATTGGTACAGGATAGACAAACTGGCAAATGAAAGAGACTAGAAAGTCCACAAAGAGGTGCATGCAGGAATGAAAGTCGAATTATGAGCAAGGTGGTACTGCAGTGCAGTGAAGAGAGATGACTTTCCCCCAGTAATGGTACTGGATTAACTGAACACTCACATAAAAAAATGAATCTTTCGTCCGGAGAGACCCGGGTTCGGTTCCCGCTAAGGGCATGTACCTCGGTTGCAGTTTGTCCCCGGCCCTGGTTGGTCGTGCGGGTGGCAGCCACTCGATGTGTCCCTTCACGTCGATGTTTCTCACTTTCTCTCCCTTCCTCTCTCTCCCTCCCACACTATCTGTACAAAAAATGGAAAAATGTCCTCAGGTGAGGATGAAAAAAAAAAAATAATAAATAAATAAATAAAAATGAATCTTTCCCTGGCCGGTTTGGCTTGGCGGTTAGAGTGTCAGCCCTCGAACCAATGAGTCATGAGTTTGATTTCGGTTGCAATCCGATCCCAGCCTGGTCTGGTCATGCAGGAGGCAGCCAGTTGATGTGTCCCTTTCACGTTGATATTTCTCTCTCTCTCTCCCTCCCATTCTATCTGAACAAAAGTGAAAAAATGTTCTCGGGTGAGGATAAAAAAAAATGAATCTTGTTCCGTATTTCATACCATGCATAAAAATAAATCCCAGATGGACTGTAGATAAGTAAAACAAACAAAAAAATGATAGAAAAAAGAAATAATAGAATATCTTCATAAACTTGAGGGCAGGCAAAGACTTCTTTAAAATAGGCTGTAGCCCTGGCCAGTTTGGCTCAGCGGTTAGAGCATTGGCCTGCGGTCCAGAGAGTCCTGGGTTCAGTTCCCGCTAAGGGCACGTACCTCGGTTGCAGTTTGACCCCAGCCCCGGTTGGAGTCGTGTGGGTGGCAACCACTTGATGTGTCCCTTTCACGTCGATGTTTCTCTCTCTTCCTCCCTCTCTCCCTCCCACTCTATCTGAAGATAAATGCAAAAATGTCCTCGGGTGAGGATAAAAAATAAATTAAATTAAATTAAATAGGCTGTAAAAGCAATAACATTAAAAAAAGAAAAACTGACAATGGAATGTTAAAATCAAAACTTCTGCCCTAGCTGATTTGGCTCAGTGGTTGAAGCATCGGCCCGCAGACCAAAGAGTTGAGGGTTCGATTCGTACCTTGGTTGCAGTTCGTCCCAGGCTCTGGTTGGGGTCATGCGGGACGCAACCAATCGACCTGTCTCTCTCACATCGATGTTTCTCTCTCTCTCGTCTCTCTCCCTCGCACTCTATCTGAAGATAAATAGAAAAATATCCTCAGGTGAGGATGAAAAAAAAAATTAGAAAAAATAAAAACTTCTGTTCATCAAAAGATACCAATGAGAGAGCGAAAAGGCAAACCCCAGAATGAGAGAAGATATTTAGATATTTGCAACACCTACCTGACAAGGACTAGTATTCTGAATATATTAAAAATGAGTCACTAAAAAGAAGCCAGGTAGTTCCCCAACCAAAAGAGAGAGAGAGGAGAGAGAGAAGACTCTTAAATAGGTTCTTTACAAGAAACAGATGCATGCAAACATGGACAGTCAAATTATGAGCAAGGTGGCACTATAGTGCAGTGAAGGATACTTTCCCCTCAATAATAGTACCAAATGACCAATAAGCATGAAACATGTTTCACTTCATTAGGTAACAAGAAAATACAATTAAAGCCAATGAAACCCTACTGTATACCTGCCAGACTATCCTAAATTAAAGACAGACCGTAGCAAATGTAGACAAAGATGTGGAGCAACTGAAGCTCATATACTGCTGGTAGTAATAGGAATTCTTTAAAAACAATTGATATATAATTCACGTACCATAATTCACCCTTTAGAAGTGTTCAAGTCAGTGTTTCATATATTGACAAGGTCATTCAACCACCATCACTACTTAATTCCAGAACATGTTCATCACCCTCAAAAGAAACCCCATAGCCCTGGTCGGTTTGGCTCAGCAGTTGGAGCATCGGCCTGCGGACCAGAGAGTCCTGGGTTCGGTTCCCGCGAGGGGCACGTACCAAAAAAAAGAAAGAAAGAAAGAAAGAAACCCCCTACCTATTGGCAGTCATTCCTCATTTCCCTCTCCTCTCTCCACTGGCAACCACTACTTTCTGTCTCAGTGGATTTGTTACGTATATGGAATCATACAATGTGATGTTTGGTGACTGGCTTCTATCACTAACATAATGTTTTCAAGGTTCACCCATATTGTAGTATGCTTCAAAACCATTTTATAACTAAAAAATATTCCATTGTATGAATATACCACATTTTGTTTATCCATTTGTCTGTTGATCAATGTTTAGATTGTTACATAACATTTGCATTATACAAGCATATGCTTTCATTTCTGTTAGGTACATATATGTAGGAGTGGAAATGCTGGGTCATATGGTAACTTAATGTTTAACCTTATGAGGAACCACCACCCTGTGTTCTAACGTGGTTTCACCATTCTACCTTCCTACCTGCAACATGTGGGGTTGCTAATGTCTCCATATCCTCATCAGTACATTTTTTATTTTCTCTGTGAAGTGCTATCTCACTGTGATTTTGACTTGCACTTCCCACTTACTTATATCAAGTATCTTTTCATGTGCTTGTCATTTGTATATCTTCTTCAGAGAAATGTCTATCCAAATCCTTTGCCCATTTCAACATTGGATTGTCTTACTGAGTTGTAAGAGTTCTTTATATATACTGGATACTAAACCTTTACTTATCAAATAAATCATTTGCAATATTTTCTCCCAGCAATGAGAAATCTTAGGAAAAACTGTTTGGCATTATCTACTAAAGCAAATTACACAGATAGCCTTGGATCCAACATTCCATGTCTACAAATACACTCAAAAGAAATGAGAACATGTTTTCTATAAGACACATTTGAGACTGTTCATAACAGCACAATTCATAACAGCAATGGGAAAAAAGAAAACCACACAAACATCCTGTTGAATAGTGGTTCCCCCAAAGATCTCCACGTCCTAATCCCTGGAACCTGTGAATGTTACTTTACTTGGCAAAGGGACTTGCCGATGTGATCAGGATTTTAAGGGGTGTGGGGGAGTTAGACTTCCATTTTCCAGTGCAGCAAGTAAGCAGTTTAGAAGTCATGTTTCTATCCTAACAAGCAAAAAGCTAAACAAACAGTCCGGCTGGTGTGGCTCAGTGGTGGAGCATCGATCCATACACCAAGAGGTCGCTGGTTGATTCCCAGTCAGGGCACATGCCCAGGTTGTGGGCCCGATCCCCATTGGGGGACATGCAGGAGGTGGGCAGTCGATGTTCTCTCATCGATGTTTCTATCTCTCTCTCCCTCTCCCTTCCTCTCTCTCTAAAATCAATATAGAAAAAAAAAAAAGCTAAACAAACAAAAATAAAAAGTTATTTGATCTGTCAGAGAAGTGAGTCACAAGGCCATCTGTTGTTCCAAAACTTGGAGACAGGCAGGTGGACATTGAAAATCACAACTTACTGAAGCAGAAACCTCTCAGAAGAGTCATGGGTAGGAAAGACTGAACTGTA